AAAAATAAAAGATAAAATTAATTTAAGTGCATACAATACTTTAAATTATAATAATAATTGGTGATAAGTTGCTTATGAAAATTCGGCTTAGTTTCATCAGGTCAATGCATACTTAATATATAGGTTCATAAGTTTGTGTTTATCTGTCAGAAATGTTTAATGACAAAATATTATACCTGAATATTTATAAATTAACATTGTATGTATTAAATATTTTTATAAAATGTTAACGATTACAAATGATTTTTATTTGGTCAGGTCATTTCATATTTGGTCAGGTCATTAAATTATCATGAAATGAATGGATAAATGACTAAATATCTGGTAAAAATGTTTCTATATTTTGTTGGTCAGGTCAGTCAGGTCTTTAGTATGTTCCCTTCATCTAGTCAATTTCTGAACTGCTTTTATTAGGCCTTTATTAGTCCAACTGTTGTAAGTCCCTTTGGTATATACTATCCTGCATTAGAAGTAAACAGTTACTTGTTGCTACCGAGTGCTATATAGAATACGTTCGTCTACACCGATGACGATTGATTCCACTGACCATTGACTAAGTGAGCGGCTCTTTATATAAGGGCCCTCAGATATAGCGAGAGTCTAATCGAATATGCGGAAAAATTTGTTTTACGAATCGTGTTCAGCTTTAATATCAACTTAAGAGTACCTGTGTGTACAATCAGAATGTTTTTTAACAAAATAATATTGAAAATGACCAATGACAAGGTAAGTAAATTTACCGAATACCATTTTTATTGAAAAAGCAGCTGTCAATGAGACTTCAATTTATCGTGGGGAAATGTTGTATATAAAGTTGAAAGACGCCAAGTTATGATGCACGGATGAACATCCGTCCAAAAACAATCCGTGATTTGTACTACTTTCTGTATTTCCGTAAATCCGTTATTCCGTGACCTGTCCTTGTTTTGAAAATTGGCGAGTTTTTATGTTGTTGATTTTGGTAAAATTTTACGATTTCAATTTTCCTGCTATGTATCTCTTTGTAAGGACTTTAATTAAGTTTTGGAATTCAATATGATAATTCAAATTCATGTCGGTTGTTGTGGTATGTTAAAAATATTCAAAACTGATATATGATTTTGAAGCAAATCCCTCCTTAGAAAGGGAGCTAAAGGTATGTTGAATCCCAGTTCTTTTTAAAAACAATTTAAACAATCAGCCTTACAAAAAAAAGACAATAACGTTACCTGTTGTAAACATTTGTAACTGTGTTCGAATACATTCGGTACGACTTAACATTGAGACATGTTAGAAAAAGAAATTAAACCGTTCGTGTACGCATGTATATATTAACATTGCGCAAAGTATATTATCACTAATGAATGGTAAATGTAAGCTTCTTTTGTACTGCGACACGGGATCTCGATTTATACGGTCTCATTCGAAGGACCAGTCTCCACGTCCCACAGTGGGATTCGAACCCGCGACGTAAGGATCAACTCCTTACTCCGCGACTCTAGAGCGAACGCTCTAACCACTGCGCCACGCGGGCGACTGTTCACTTTCGTCAATTTGATTACCGATTATACGAGCTGTGCAACTCGGAAACTTTGTATATGGGTCAGGTAAAATCAATGGAATAATTGAAAGTTAATATTTATTAGGTCACCTGAGTCACAGATGACCATGAATTGATTGATATAACCCCTTGATGGCTTTCTTGACCAGATCCGGTTCAGCAATGGTGAGATCTGCTGCTGCCTGTTGTAACCGGAACATGTAAGAGTCAAGTTTCTCGTTGGTGCCCTGTCTGATGTCATCTAGGTCGAGACCCTCATCTGTGTTCCTAAATCTGTCGAAATGAGCATTTTTAAACGATGATAGAGATGATTTGGAGGTTTGTACCAGCTGGTAAAACCAATGTTTAACTGGCTCTAGCTGTCAGGTTAAATGGCACAATGTTCAGAGCTTGGCTGTCGGTCATCTGGTATAGGCTGATGTACGACATAAAGTTCAGCGCCACTCTACTTCTGACGACGTACCATCATATGGAGTGAGGGGAACAGTGACTCTTGGAGGATTGTTTGTGTTCACTGTAGGCGTTGTTGTTGCTGCAGAAATGGTAGGAAGAGTCGGTGAGATTGATCCAGATGCCCTGTTTGTTGAAGTGGTCGTAGTTGTGGTTGTTCTTGATATTGTAGTCCTTGGGGGAGTGTTTTCTTGCCCTCCGCTAGCTTCTTGCTTGGCTCTGTCCCTCGTTTGCATGCCGGAAAGGTCCGAATGGATCAGAAAGATTTTCCACTCGTAGTATTTCTCGCTTGGAATATGGGTTTTGGGTGGTTTGTGGGGAATTGGCCGGTATGTGCAAGGGACACAAGTCTTGGTGCACTGTGTAAGGAAAAAAAAAATGAAGTCGATATTAAAACTTGTCATACATATATTTGGCGACTCGCAATAGAATGACGAAAAACGGGTGCGAGCGCTATTATCAATTCCGACTGACCACACGGGTAACCAATCAAAAAGCAGAATATAGTCCATGGACAATTTCCTAATACGGTTGAGTAATTTATGATTTTACCTGCGAGACTTATTCTTTTATACCGAAAAATTGAAAATGTTTGCTTAAGGCTATATCGGCAGTGATTGATATCGGCAGTGATTGATTGAATCTGCCAAACAAACATTACAAAATTGAGTAAAATAGATGAAAGAGTAAAAGTTTCATGTCGCAATCGTATTAGTGTCATCCTTTGTTACGATATAATTTACCCAATAAGTGATAAATGTTTTATAAACACAATTAAATGACCACATGCAGTAAACAATAAAACTGCATGTCAAAGACTTAGGTCAAAAAACAATCTTCAGATCTGTTGACTTTGAGTAAATTTGCTTAATAGAAAGTTTTCTTACAAAAGAATTTCATCTAAAAACATGTAAAAAGTACAACCTGAATTTTCTAGGAAATATTCCGTCTTTGATATAATTTATAAAATTTTAAATAAAAATTGACCTAATAAAATAAAAGGAATGAAATGGAAATTTAGATTTCTTTAATTATAATTAATAGAACAGACTTCTTGACTAAAAAGGTTTTGAATTTACTAGGGGGAGGTAAATGCAAAATTTACAACATGATAGTAAATATTTACCGCAGTTGTCTTTCAGTAATGTCTCTTTTCTTTATCCTTAAAAAATAAAAAAATAAATGGCGCTGAAACAAAATGTTATGACTGAACAAACGGATGATGAACCTTTTTTCGAACCTTTTTTTTTTAAATATCCAAGATATGGAAAAATTTTGTAATAATACTTACAAATTCATAGAGAAATCTAATATTTCTTGCCAGTATGTTTTGGGCAGTAGAACTCGTAAAGCCCCATCCCTGTAAGCTGTCACTCCCATACACCAAACATGCCTCCAAAAATTACATTACAGTCTTTAACATCACATCCAACCACATTCTATTTTCACTCTCTTTCTCCCCACAGATTCTACATTTGTCCTCCTCAGCCTCGGCTGAAAGGACAGACTTGGTGGTCTTGACGGTAATCTCTCGAATGCTGTGGTGCGCGGCACTAGAAGTTGAGGGCTGCGAATCCGATGACAGGGTTTCACTTGCTGTACATGTAGCTAACTTACATAAATAAAATTAACACAGTTCCTTTATCTTTTATTTTTACATCGATATATTCACCCAATTTTTTCCAGATATACTGAACTCAATGATTATTTATACGGTTTATACCTGATTGTAGTTTGGACTTCTTTCCTCGCAAGTCGCTCCAGAAGATCCCCGAATAATGATTGACACCTCTGCAGAAGTCGTAGTGCACAAATCTTTGAATAGGATCAGAATGATCTTTAAATTTTTCAGCCGAAATGTTTTGTAGACATAAGTTTTTAAATTGATTCCAATCAGCCTTGTCTAATTTCCAGTTTTGGATACAGTTGTTTTCTGAAGGTTTAGTTTGTTTAATAATGATTGGGAAATGATCACTCCCGCACAGATCGTCATGTTCTACCAATCGAAATCTAAAAGTAAAGAAGGATCCGCTAAACTGATATCTATTGAGGAATATGAACCATTGCCCGGATGCAGGTATGTGTTCGAGCCGTCATTTTAATATACAGAGATTGTGATGAGAAATTGTATCTTCAAGTTTTTTACCTTTGTCTGTTATTTTATCACTACCCCGCAGTGGGTTATGGGCATTAAAATCGCCCATGAGTAGAAATGGAGTAGGAAGTTGACGTATTAATTACGAAAGTTCACAAGACTGTAATTGATAATTCGGAGGGATATACACAGAACAAATGGTAATTGTTTTATCAAGTGAAAGACGTAAAGCTACATTAAGTTTAGCTTTCATTCCTAGGATTAAACACTCCTCTGACTACATTGAGCTTGTTTTTTGCCAAATAACACAAGACAGATTTGTTCCAAACAATGTCATTTATTATGAAATGACAACATATAATATAATACATAAGACTGGGAGACCATGTAACATTAAAACACAATTCCTGAGAAAAAATATTAAACAATTATGCAATAACAAATTGGCCTCCCAGTATGTGACTATTACATAACATATATAAATTGGCAAAATAGGTGGCCTCCAAAATATGGCCAAAAAAGGAAAGGCTTCAAGCATTCCCTAATAAAAATTTACCATAGTTAACTATAGTTTACTATAGTTAACTATAGTAAATACTTTGATTTACTATGAAACTTTACTCAAGAACTTTTTTGAAGATTTAGAGTCTTAATATTTCTTAAATTACATATCAATGATGTAATTTTTTTAAATAATATGTAAATATACAAGAAATATTTCTTTTTAATAGCAGAAAATTACTTGTAGGAATCTAAAAAGTTAAAATATATCGATCAATCTGAAATCCATAGTAAAAATACTTTGATTTACTATAGTGAAAACTTTGATTTACTTTAGTTAACTATAGTAAACTATAGTTAACTATGGTACTTTTCTGTTAGGGTTTCCTTGCGCCACCCGAAAGATGTTCCGATTCAAATCTTACATTAAACTGTAAACAGGTAAGGACTAAGCGCCGCACCAAGCGCATAATTGTATGGTCTTTAGAGGATTGATGATTAATGATATAAGCTACTGCTTCATTATCTGTCAGGAAAAGGACATTTTTGTTTCTTAAAGTACTACCCCAAATTTCAAGAGCTAATACAATGGGAAAAAGTTCCTTAACAGTAATGTGATAGTCCATGCATTCAGCTGGCCATCTACCAGCAAACCAATTCGCTCCAAACACCCCAGCAAAACCAATCACTCCTGATGCATCTGTATACATGCGCAAATTATCAGAGGAAATATGTTGGTTATTATTAATGAGGCATTTCCCATTAAATTTGTTGATAAATATAGACCATGCATGCAAGTCTGCGCGGGCTTCTTTATTGAGTCTTTTTTTGTAATAAGATGGCTTTTGAGGCCCACATAAAAGGTCAAATAAACGGCACAGGAAAGCTCGACCTGGACATATGACAGAAGAAGCAAAACTCAAGGAACCTAACAAGGACTGCAATTCCTTTACGGTCACCTTTTTCCTGTGAGAAAAATTCTCTAACATACGTCTTTACTTTTCAAGTTTGTCAGATGGTAATCTACATTCCATTGCTTCTGAATCTATTTCGAGGCCATAAATGGTGATAACCTTACAAGGTAGGACAGTTTTATCCCGTTTGATGGGCACACCTAAAGTGGAACAGAGAGCTAGGAAATTTTCAAGATCATGTATGCACTTACTGGAATTATTAGGTCCAATAAAAAAGAAATCATCTATCATGTGAGACATACCCTGTAAGTTAAATTTCGATACCATAATCCACTGAAGAGCAGAAATGAATGATTCAAAAATTTTGCAAGAACTGCTGGCCCCCATGGGAAGACACTTATCGAAATAATACTGACCTGCCCATGTTAAACCCAAAGCATGGTAACTATCTGGGTGCAATGGAATAATTCGAAAAGCATCTTCAATATCAGATTTTGTCATCAGTGACCCTTTTCCAAATTTCAGTACAAGGGAAATGATTGTATCAATTGTATCATATTTGATCTTTGAATGCTCTTCTGAGATGTAAGAATTTACTGAATCAGCTGATGGGAATGAAAGATCATGTAGAAGTCTATATTTCCCTTGTGTACTCTTGGGTACTACACCCAATGGGGACCAAACAAAATTTTGAAAAGGTCGGGAAGGGTAAGGACCAGCTATTTTTCCTAAGTCAATTTCATTTTGAAGTTTATCTAGAACATAATCAGCATGTTGGGTGGTGGATGAATGATTACGACAGAGACGTGGCTTTGGATATGCTGAACAGCCTAAACTGAACCCAGACGTAAAACCTTGAACTAAGTAATGAGAAAGAAAAGGGTCATAACCTTGTAGGTAATGCTTAAGAAGATGTGCTTGTACTGGGGTTGGTAGTTTTAGGTTTTCCTGATTGACGTTGGGGTCGAAAATTGGTTGCATTTTGAGTGTCTGATTTTTGCTTTGTGCACTGAATTCGGGGATGTGTGTCTTTGCACACTGAGCATATGTGTCTGTATGGGCAGTTTGATGATGTACATTGTTGGCCATTGTTGTAAGTGTAGCAAAACCTGATTGGACCCCGAAAGGACTGATTGTTTGATGTTCTGCTGCGTGAAAATTGTTGGTTATGTGACTTTGGCATTGTCGTTACTCTTATAATTTTTTCATTAAGGGGTTGTTGCCAAGGCAGGTCTGACACCTCACGCAACTTCCTAAACTGCTCATCATATAACCTCCAGGCTGAATCACCATTGGAGGCATGGAGGTGGCGGACTGTTGAAATGTACTTAAGCAAATTTGTGGCTGACTGAGAATTTGACTCAATATAAATTGAAATGAAAGTCAAAAAGGCATTTGTCCATTGATAAATGACTGTTTGGCATTTAATTTGATTGATCCTTGATCAATTTGTACAGACACAGTTTCCTGTTTGTGTTCTGGCAGTAACACTCTTAAGTCGATATACTGGTTAGCCCAGATTTTTTGTTTAACACGCAAGGGAATTGTTGCCCCCAATGGTAAACCCCCCGATAACTGCAGTGGTGTAACATTATCATCATCCACTGAACTACCAACAATTGACTCACCCCCAAAGATTTTATCCAAAGTAAGAAGGAAACTTGATTGTTGGGCTGCACCTGAAGCATTGATTGTATTCACTGCTGTGTCAGTTGTGTCAGGCAAACTATTCCCTACAAGCGCTTGCTGTGGCATGTCCGAGTCTTTACTGGGCCCAGGGGATACTGGAATTTCCCTGCTGTCTGTTCCGGTCATTTGGCCCTACTTCTTTAGTATGGCGTCCGCCAGATTGTCATAGTCAATCGTGGGCAGCGAATCGTCATTCTGCGACTTTTGTTTCCTCTGTCTCTTAGGAGTTTGCCCACTAGTTGCAGGCTCTTGCCTTTTCTTGGGTGGCATTGCTGAAATTGAGACATATAATGAAAAGCTTTTTTTTTTTTTTTTTTTTTTTTTTTTAAATTGAACTTACAGCACCACTGTAAAGTTCTGTATGTACAAATCTATATGTTATATACTGACATATATGCTTGAGAAGAAGAGGTTTCTCTTAGCCCTCAAGTATTAATTAGCAACAACTTCAAACTGAAATACATGTCTGACAAACAGGTAGTATAAGCACAAGTGAGTGATGCCAATAGAAAACCTGACAAATGGTCAGAGTTTAACACAAAAAATCCTGCTAGCAGGAAAAGGATGGCAAATGGTCATCCCATCATGTACAAATGGCACATGATAACAAACAATGGTACAAATGGTACCAGAACATGTACAATGTACTTTGACAAATGGTCAAAATTATACAAGTTCAAACCTGCTAGCAGCAATGAATGACAAATGGCCATTCAAACCAAGTACAAATGGTACATGGTAAAAAGAAAGTGGCATCACTCGGTGAATGACAAATGGCCATTCAGACAAGTGCAAATGTTACCTGATAAATATGAATAAATTTTTAAATTGCATGGCAGCACTGTATGAACAACAAATGGTCATCCAAAACAAAACCCAATGCTACCTAGTAAGATGTCAATTGTGGTACGTACCCCTAATGAAATAGGAATACATGTAGCTTTGAAACTAAATATAAAGACATGTAATATGACACCACAAATTATAAAACATAGCCCAATTAGCCAAACATACATGTACTGTAACTAGCATGTTAACTCAATGAACTACTGCTATGATGAGTGGTAATCTAACCAAGTAAACTATTCACATTATGCAAGGAAACAAATATAATTTCAGTTGTGAATATTTAATAAATGAATAAGAAAAGGTAACATTTACCCAACTGAAAATGGCAGATGTACCCACAAACCTATATTTCTGGATATGAATGACAGTTAGCCATTAAATAAATTTTGATAGAATCAACACTTGATAAACTGACATAAACCAAACCTAGACCTCAATTTGTGTATAGTAAGCAGACAATATTGGTAACCTATAAACTTAATTTAGATTTATTTGCACAAGACCTAAACTGTTAAAATTATAGCATTCTACAGCTAGCTGATCTATGTGTTTATATAGCATATTCAAGTAATTTATAATGCTATGAATGATATCTACTGCTATATGAAATGAATAGCATGGAGCAAGCATTAATTGCCCCATGCGTATAAATAGAACATGATTACCCAATGAAGCGAGAAGCTCGCAAGACGGCCCTCTTTACACTTTGAAGATATTTTCTCATCTGGCTGCTGTCGGTGCGGGAACACCTGATGTGTACGCCATCTCTGCTCAGGAATGATAAGTCCTTCCAGAAACCATGGTGCTGGTGAAATGAGATATGGTCAAGAGAGGAGGCCCAGTTCTGTAGACAGCAATTAGCCTCGACAACCCGGGAGTTGTAATCGCCCCTCCTGTTGCGTCGCAGTATTTGGCCGATAACGACATGCCGCACTCCACACCCCAGAACTAAGTAATTAGCATAACTCTGGATTTGCCTCACTAAGGTGTCTACGGCTATCTTGTTATTATCTTGGTCATTTCCTCCGACCTGTAGAAAAACCATCTGGGGAGGCGGATCAAATGTCGTAAATTTGGGTCTGTGAGCCATGCGATCGACAGTTAGACCTCCTTCACAAAGAAACTGTACATCGAATAAATGTCTATAAAGTCTCAAATTGTCGTTCTCAGTGTTAAGAGCAATAAAATTCTGCAAACGACGAATAAAGGAATGTCTTATAATCACTACCTGAATGGGAGCCATTGTTTGTCTACTTTCGTTTTCACCACACCGACAACAACACAGGAAAATATCCAAAGAGGAACACGAAATAAAAATTAATTACCTCTCTCGAGAAGTCAAAATTCTCTATTAATCCAAAATATTTTAAGCAAATGATTGGCCGTCTTGTCTTTACAATAGCAGTGGATAGAATGATGCTAGTTCGCTTATCTCAAAAGGATAGAATTACTGGGGGGGGGGGGGGTGTCCCCACGGGTTTACTGATAAAGAGGCACAAAGTGGGGATTTACACTCTTGCATACAATACGTGAAACTTAACTTAAAATAATTTTACTAGCATAAAATATCATGCTTGGAGTTTTATTTTCAAAGATATTTGGCTGTGGATGCATTTATTGTGTACTGCTATAGTAGAACCACCAGTGGCTCTCTCAGTTGGAGTATAATGGTTATACATGATATAGTTTTTAATATTATTCTTATCAGTTTCTTTTAAATGTGTTTCTTGTAAACATATTGCTACAGGGCAATGGTCCTGAATTAGTAGGGACAATTCATTAAAATTAACTCTAAAACCTCGACAATTCCACTGAATAAGTGTAGAATGATTCATTTTTATTTATTATGGGTAATGGGGGATATCCTCCCCTTGTTCTTTTTGGGGGAAAGACTGCTGTCTCTTGAGGAAGAGGACTGAGATGGAGTAAAATCCATTTCCTGAAAGATCCCGAATTTATTATGTAACGCAAAGGGATCATTCCCCCTTTGGGTATCCGATCACTAGATTGTTTTGGAGTACTTTTCAAAGGAGACTTATTTTGTCTCCCTGATGATCTTGAATTACCTGCAGCTACGGGTTTTTGTGCAGCCGCGGCTGCAGGGCCCGCAGATGCAAGCAATGATGTCGATTTTTGCTTTGTCATTAGATGACAAAGCAACCACAGTTACAGAATTTTGTTGAGAAATGTCATTCTCACTGACCTGTGTCGACACATCCCTCTTTGAGGATGTCTTTAGAACTGCTGCATACGAGGACAGATTAGGTTTTGGAACACTGTACATATTTACAAGTTTCTTTGCCTCTGGATAAGGTATTCGCTCTTCTGCTTTTACTTTCTGTATTTCTTTTTCTTTCATCCAAAGAGGACATTGCCTCAAAGAGGCCATGTGATCCCCTTTGCAATTCTTGCATTTTTGGGTTTTTCTGACAGCTTTTGCCGTCATGCCCCTCTTCACCACACTTGAAACAAGTTTCTACGCCTTTACAGTTATTTTGTCCGTCCCCAAATCTCTGACATTTAAAACAACGCAGCGGATTCGAAGAAGACTACAAATGATAATGCACGATTTTTTTTAATCTCCCATATGTCAGTAAACAATGTATACGACATGGCTGATTGACCACCATATAGGATATTAAGTATCAAATGGTGGGCTCTGCCCAACCTTTATACACGGTGACAACTTATTACACTGAACAGTGTCTATGTGGGCGGCTTAAATAGGGGCCCTCAGATATAGCGAGTGAATAATCGAATATGGCGGACAAATTCCTTTTAACAAATCGTTTAAAGCTGAACACGACTCATAAATAGGCATACGCCATTTTCGATATTACTATCTAAGATACCTACTCTTCGCATTCGTACACCTGATTGCTTTTTTGTCAAGGGTGTCGGCGTTGAATGGCGACCCGTGTTCGTGCTGGTATCTTGCACCACCTTTGTTTACATTGAATTGCAGTTACGTGTATTTGTAGGTATCGGTGTGGAATGGCGACGCGTGTTCGTGCTGTTTATCCTACATCACCTTTGTTTACATTTTATGGCAGTTACGTGCATTTGTGTTTGTTTGTATACTGCACTGACCTGTGCAAGTGTTGTAAGTTACTATGGTATCTTACTTTCCTGCATTAGAAGAAGTACACATTTACTTTTTGTCGCTACCAAGTGCTGTATAGCATACGTCAGTCTACACCGATGATGATTGATTAGCTGACACGTGTTTAAGTGAGGGGCTTTATATAGTGGCCCTCAGATATAGCGAGGGACCAATCGAATATGGCGGACAGACTCCTTTTACAAATCGTTTTCAACTTCAATATTTATATTTAAATCTGTATAATTAACCACATAACATATCAATAAGTACGTTAATTATTGTATCATAAATGTCATTGTATGTTGCACTGAAGGAACAGCCGCTGCTTGAGAAATCTGTACATGTGGCTTGCATAGCGGTTTACTGATTGATAAACAACAATGGTTTAATAAGGGAGCAAAGTCTAGGGTCGGCGGTAAGCTCTGGACTATACCTGTTGGACTTTGCTTCTTCTTTTTTTACCTCTGATTTCGGTCCGCCGAAATCGGTGGGGGGGGGGGGGTGAAAAATTTAAAAAATACCTCCGATTTCGGCGGACCGAAATCAGAGGTAAAAAATGACAGTCAATGAAGAGAAAAGTTTGTTAGGTAGCATTGTCAAGCAGAAGACTGAAAACTCGAATGCACAAGAACTCTGCCTCAAACGGCGAAGACGAGCAGAAGCCGAGGCATTTGAGAGGTATCAGCAAGCATTTCTGCCAAGCTGCGGGACGGGGACCCTACCTCTCAGGCAGCCCACCCATACCACCTTCACCCTAAAAATAACCCGCCGTCCTTAAGCCTACCAAACAGAAGATGGAAATGAAACCTAGCAAGTTAAAAATAGAAGGCAGTTAAGGTGACGGTGCCTGTTCAGCTGCGACAACTTCAGGCATCTGGTAGACGTATCTTTTACCGACCACCCTAGGGTGACGGAGCCTGTTCGACTGAGACAACCCCTAACGTCTTGTAGATGAATGCCAGACCTTCAAACAAAAGAAGAACTCGAGTGACCCAATAAGGAACGACAGAAGGCTGTTTTCCCAGACACCTACCTTGCCAAAACTGCTATCTTACACCTCTACCCTTGGGAGGAAGTAGACCGTCTCCACACCACTCAGCACTTCCCCCTCCTAATGATCTATAAAATATCCCAATTACCTTTCACCACAAGATAGCCTAACCCGACCCCTTTACATTTGGCGCTTTCTCCGTGCCTGTTCTGCATCCAAATGACCCCTGGACTGCCAGAGGATTTTGGCTACTCACTGGTCTGATAGGCCACTGTCTCACCTTCCAGCATGTTTTCCAGCTTTTGCCTTGACGGCAGCTAAAATGAAAGATGTGAGGCAGTAAATAAATTAAAAAAAATATGTCTACAAATAGGCCAAAGTATATACAAATCTCTTCGGGGGATTTTTGCCGTACACTGGGAGTGCACGCTATAATGATTTTTTTTTCTCTTTTTTTTTTTCTCTTTTTTTTTTTTTTTTTAGATTTTTCTGAATTACACAGATGGCGCAACTTGTCTCGGACTACTTGGTTGGCTGAGGAGGAGGATTTACTCCACCAGCACTCAAATAGATTCAAGGACCAGAACACCGGCTCTATTCTCCGTCATCATTTGCCGCTCCCGCCGCAGGAGCGCCTTCTGCACGGAGTTTTTTTCTTCCTCCTCTTTGTCACCTCGTAGTGGATGCGATCCGGTTTGACCCGAGGTTCATAGGCACCCAAAACTGTCTGGAAGCGAGGCTCTGACTGAATCATGTCCATCAAGTCTTTTCTCGAAATCTTCAATGTGGGGTCTTGTACACGAAGCTTGTTGTACTGTCCGAAGACAGTGATCAAAGCCTTTTCCTAGGCCTCATTAAACCGATGCACCCATTGTTTAACCGGCTTCTTGAGAGCTAGTAGAGGGGCCGCCGCTGCTTCTTCCTCTACCGCCTGCTGGGCAATGACTGGGGATTTCTCCCGAGATGTCGATGCCCGATTTGATGAAGGAGGGATTATATCCGAAGACCCCTCGCTCTCAACCGTATTAGAAGGTGGGAATGCGTGGTCTCCAGAGTCTTTCTCTTCCGACGAGGAGGACTCGGACCTTGCTTCATGTAAATCCCTATTCCACATTGAATGCAAGACCTTTGACCAGGCGGCTACTCGCTTTTGTCCTCTCTCGATATCATAATACAAATCTGCAGTCGACTTGTCAAGAGCCATGTGTACTGCCAGATCTGCTTCCTCTTCTTGGGTGTGCCTGCCCTCACGATGGTAAGAATCCACTGCCTTGCGGATTGTGGTTGTGCTAAACCATGGTAGTTTCTCCCGGATTTCAGTGGAGTACAAACTCCACTGGTGGTTCATGTTCCGAACCACATCGGAAGGCGTTAATTTCCGTCCCTTACTGTTGACAAAAACATTCTGTATGTCGCTTTTTGGCCGCATGGAGGTAATGAATCGTAGCATCCACAGAGGTTGCTTTGAGGTGAATGCTACAAGGCAGACCTTACTTTCCACTTTGTGTTTAGAGACTCTTGTAATGTGAACCTCATTGTTTCTCTGAGCTTGAGAAAACTCATGCAGGGTGAGGTTACATAGGTCCCCAGCCCTTTTAGCATTGGAGAAACAAATCTCCATTAAAAATAAACAGGATCCTGTAATCAGAGTCCAATACCTCCGCGACCCGTTTGTAAGTAAGGGAGCAGAAGTAGCCCTTGACATGGTCGGCTTGCGGGATATCTTCCTCGGTCACAGAACGTGGCCGTTCCTCAGGGGCAGTGGCACGCCGTTCTTTTGCTTAATTCGATTCGATTCTGTGAACGCAAGTGCTCAGCTGCAAAAAGTCCTCTTAGGTACTCCAGGGGCTAACAAGCTGCCAATCGTGACCAAGAAAGTCAATAAATTTGCTGGCAGCATATGCATAGTAAGCCACCGTACTGATGCTCAACTGGTACTTGACGTTTAATTTGTCGAGGACTTTTCCCTTATCCCCGAGCGACATGAAGTAAGGTTTATAATTATATTATAATTAAATTATAATAATATAATATGACATAAGGTTGAGGGTATTAGGGTTATGCCGCCGCTCATCTGAACCAACATATCCAGGATACGTCCTACCATTCTGCACG